ATGCGTTCCCCACGGACGAGGAAGTCGACTGGGGAACAGGCACCGGCACACCGCCCCCACCCTGCACGGAAGACTGTCGTTGGACACCAGTCACCGCCCCCGATGCGTCCCCCACGGACGAGGAAGTCGACTGGGGAACAGGCACCGGCACATCGCCCCCACCCTGCACGGAAGACTGTCGTTGGACACCAGTCACCGCCCCCGATGCGCCTGTATCTGAGTACGCCGGCCGTGATGAGGTAGGGAGAGCAGCAGTTGGCAGGTAAAGGGCGTTGGTCGTGATGCCAGAGACAGGGGGCCTATTTGCAGCTATTCCATCCGTTGAAGGTGTTAACGTGGGGGGTTTCGAAGGTAGCGGCCCCGTTCTTAACTCCGTAGTTGGTGGAAAACTGTATCTAGGGTCAAGAGTGGCTGGTACAGGACGTCTATTATTATCAACCGATGATAAGGGGAAGGGAGTCGCGACGGAAAATCCCTGCGGGGGAGGCGCTGATGAAGGCTGCTCGTTGGCATTCAACTGAACCGCTGGCCGCGATGTTGCATTCGTCAACGTAGGAAGGGGTTTATTCAAGACCTTCGTCCCTGACACGGATGCCGACGAAACACTTTCAACCGTCGAGCTTCTTTGTACTGAGGATCGTCCACCGGACGAGGACCGTGAGGGGGCAATACTGGTGCTACTCACGCTGCTGGTAAAGTCCGAGGAGTAGGCCGAAGCTGAGAGCTTTGAAAAAGCATCCCCACCAGCAAAGCTTCGATCTATTGTTGACTGCACAATAATGTTGATGCATTTTGTCAATTCTTGGATCTCGACGCATAGGTGTTTGATGTACTTGAGATGCTGACGGTGCAGGGTGGAAAGCCGCACCTTCAGTGGCTGACGGTAGGCCGATGTAAGGTGACAGAGGCTCGTGCCTAGGCACTGCAGCTGGAAAAGCACGTTGTACGTGAGAAAATGGGCCACACTTCCTTCGCGTGGAAGTGGCAACTTGTTTACTGGATTTCTACGTCCGTTACCCTCCACGGATGCGTCTGTATAGTCGGTTCCAGAGGACTCGGCAATCTGATTGGCCAGCTGGATCACAATATTTGCAGACTTCAGGATTCGCTGCACCACACAATCAAGCTTGTCCGTCATGGGTTTGGACTTCTCATTCACGGCAACTGCGTCCAGCGGCGCAAACTCCCGCTTCAACGTGGCGTAGAGCGTTCCACAATTGGACTGAATCTGATACGCCACGTCGTACTGCAAGACATGAAGAAGCGTTTTCTTCTTTGCGGGAGACGTGCTTCTGCGCCGACCATGCGCATCCGCAGCCTCCAACGGGCGACCCTGTGAGCTCTTCTCCGCCTCTTTTTGCGGCAATGTGCCATCGACCACGACCCCAGCGCCCGATGTCGCCGGCTTGGCTGGCGAGGAACCTCGATGCCCCCCCTGCTTCATCTTGTGACTGCGCTTGCTCCGTTTGTGCCCGCCCGCGCCGTCCAGAACCACGCGAATAAGATAAGGTTTGCCATTGACCGTCAACTTGGAAGTTGCTACGGGTGAAGACAGCTGGCGAGAGACGACTGAAGTGGCGGTGGCCCCCGGCACCACCGCAGTCGGCAACATCGCTTCTTCAGCGGGAACAACGCGACAGGACATCTCCGCAAAGCCCATCGTCTTCCCGGCGCCGTCACACATGGCGTAGTTGCTGTGCTGCCGGGCCTCCGCCGCCGGCGCCGTCGACAGCGGGCATGGGCATAACCACGACAACGACGCCTGCTGTTGTCCCTCGTCGTACACGCGGCAGACGCACTGCGCAGGGAAGATTCTTCGGTACTCATCGTCACTGAGGTAAAACTCGGCCTTGTGGCACACGTTGTACGTCAGCGAGAGGATACGATCGCCTGCGGGGGCCCGCTCAACGACGCCGCCCCCACCACCAATTTGTGGCCGGATGAAAATCTCTGGAAAGCTTGAGAAGCGCACGGCAAAGACGACCCTTGCCGAGGAACTCATGTTCACAAGACCATGCAGCCGCTTGACGGCGATCTCCAAACGGCATCTTCGCGGCTGCGTCGACATCTTTGCTCGCCACCGCGGGCAGCGACCAGCAACACCCGCTTCTCCGTCAGCTCAGCCCCCCCAACTCTGTCCGCGGACGCTGTATCCCGCCCGGCCGGACACGCCCCGAGGAAGAACCGCAAAGAAAACGAAAATAGCAACCACGCCTCACCACGCACACGCACACACACAAAGAAAAAGAAAAGGAAAAAAAAAAAATTCGGCAAGGTGCTAATGTGGCCAGCGCTCCGCTTTGGGTAGTTATTTTCACTTTGTGCTAAAAAGGGGCGGGTCAAAGGAAACAGGTAAAGTAGCAGCAAGAAGCGCTAGGAAGGAGGCAGCCGTAGACCTTCAAGAAGCAACCACGCAAACTAGGAAATGGCGACCGAAGTCAGGCCCCCAAGGAGGAGACGCAAGACAAAAACAAAAAAGAGAGGCTGTTAACAAACACCAAGTAAGAATGTGTGTCTGCAGAGATGACTTGTCACAACTGCAAAAAATCCAGAAAAGCCACGATGGTGTCACCCCCATTTGGCTTGTATTCCCGGCACGACTAAAGATCTTCATTTTAGTCCCCGTCACTCTCCTTCTTCTGCTTGTACCTACCGCGTTGGTAGAGTTGGTCCACTTTGTCCTGGACGCTAACACGTGCGTTGGGCACACTGCCGGCTGCCAATTCGGGCTTTTGCATTAATATTTCCTGGGTCGGTATCGCCGCCTTGTCGCGAATGCGGCCCCGATTCGCCACAATCTCCCCACGCTTCCCAATTGTGGATGCGCTTTCACCCTCCTTAAGGCTCCGAGAAGACAGTTTGGCGAGCAAGGCATCCTGCCGCTCCTGCAGAGCATGCACACTGTCCAACTTCCCCTTCTTTCGGCGCCGCATCGGCGTACTCGCGTCCGCGGGTGACGTGCCACCACCACTACCTCCACCAGCTGCCGCAGCGGCAGCGCTGCCGTCGGTCTCGCTTACACTCGGACGACGGAAAATGGCCTTCGAACCCGATTTGCCACGGTCAATGTACATACGGCGACTAATTTCACGCTCGCTCTCTGTTTCCTCCATGCTGCGCGCCACTCGCGTGTCCGCATCCCTCTGCTCCTCTTCGCGGGAAATGTCGTCAATCGTTTCGGAGAGTGCCCGCGAGTCGTCTTCAAGCCATTCCTCCAGACTTTCCTCCCTCGCACTTGCCATGGTGCGCAGCAGTTGCTCCTCTGCGCTGACGCAAGTGCCTTCATGGGGCTGATGGGGTTTGGCCGTGGAGTCCGGGTGCTCTGAGACATGGTTGGCGAGGAGGCTTTCTGGCACCTCCACGATATTTCCGTCGCGGTCCTCAACCAAAGGCATTTGTCCGACGAAGTTTAGCGGGTACGCCTCACTCTTCCCAGCGACGTACTTGTCCAACTCCCTATCAATATGCTCCTGCAGCTTTGACTGCGGAATGTACTGAATGAGACTCATGCTTTGCAGCCGTTCACTGGCGCGTTCGTACCAAAAGAAGAATTGTCTCTCGTGGAATTCTCGCAGTAAATCCAAGTGCTTCTTTTTCAGCGCTTGCCTTCCTTCCGTCATTTGCTTCGCCTCCACCCGCTTCTTCTCCTGTTCCTGCATCTCGTACTCCCACTGAGCCAATTGGGCTGCCTTGGTAATGTTATACTTGTATATGTATTCATCCGCATTGACACGAAAAGACTCGAGCCACTGGCGCTTGTACACTTTTCGCAGGTGCTCAAACTGCGCTTCGTGAACATTGCGCCACAACTCATTTTGCTTCCACATCCAATGGCGGTAGGGCGTAAGGAATCCCGTCATCTTTCGCCCATGCTCCGACTTGGAAGGGAGATTGTAGTACGGCCGCATCTGCCGCCGACACAGCCGCGAAGAGCGCATCATGACCCACAGTTGCTACAGCAAAGTGGAGAGAGAAACACACTCACTCACACCCCAACGCACCACGCTTCACCCTGCAAAGAAAATGCAGCGTTCCCCCAAAACCCTCCGCCCCTTCAACCCTCTTGGTTCCTTGTGGTTGCTGCTGACGTTGTCACGGTCACACGACGACAAGCCGATGAATGAGGCAAAAGGAGGAAAAGAAACAAAGAGTCATTCCAGCAGAAAAGCACAAATGCATGCGGCTCTCCGCCTCTGCTAATAAGCCACTTCACACACCTTACGCAAAGCAGGCAAGAGAAAAATTGGCGGCAAAAGAGTAACATTATCGCCACGCCCGTCCACACACACACACACACACACGGAAAGAAGAAATGAAAGAAAGCGCCTTATCTGAAATGTGTTGCCATATCCTTTCCCTTTAAGAGAAGGGTGGATTGTACCGCTTTCGTGCCTAGGCGCACGCAAACGCATGGTGGCTACACCATACGCACCACCAACCGAAGTGTGGCCCACGAGAGAAGTACAAACAGCAGCAAAAAAAAAACGAAAAACACACACTCACACACACAAAGAGAATTTTTTTTTTAAAAAGCAGTAATACAATGACAAAAAAAAAGTACAACACTTAAGATATTAGCACTGCCGCAGCAGCCTTGAGTCGCTTCTTTGTATCGACTTCGCGGGAGGTATGAAAAGCATCGTTGTCAGTTGCCCTAAATCCTGCTTGACGCCCTCGCATGCCCCCGGCAGTTCTGGTATACGTGGATCAACAGGCTCCATCAACAAATTGGCGTTCCCCTCCTCGGCCTCTGGAAATGGGAACATGACTGCAAGGAGATCAGGATGCTCGGGTTGGACCTTGATGTCGCCGACTTCCCGAAAATAGTCCACCTCGGTGTTTTCCTCCACGATCTCCACCTGCTGTAGCAAGATATCAGTGAATAGAGCATGCTGGCGAACCTCCTCCCAGCGACTTACAAGGCGCTCCTTCTCCACCTGGGAGTTCAGTTTATCGTCCTCTACGTGGGTGTGTGTTAGGTGCTCCGCAGCTCGCGGGTGGCTTCCGTAGTAGGCATCAAACTCCCTCAAACCTCCATCGGCGTTCTTCGGGGCCCCACCCCCAGCCCCCACAAAATAGCTGTCTTCGTAAGCAGCCTCCCCATTCCACGTTGTGCTCGTGTTCAGCTGTGAGCCTTGCTCCAGGAAACTTGCTTCCCTGCCGTCGCCCATGCCGGGGTGCATAGACTCACCACCCCGACCCAAGCCCCCAGCGACAAAAACGCCGTTACCGTCGTTGCATAATGTGCGGAAGCAATCGGTGCACACCCGTACGGGCAAATGGACTCCGCGCATTGGAATGGTACGAGTACAGTTCGAGCAGTTCCTACAGAACACATACCCGCAATTGCGACAGTGATGACGTCGTGTACTAAGCGAGAAGGTGACAGCACACCCATGACACGAGGGAGCCTCGGAGTCCCTCTGCCAGTGATCTTCCTTGGATCCATTGGCCCCCATGATTGCCTCCTGCTGTGGCGCTCCCACCGACAGCCCTCTATCCTACCTGTTTCTTTAGCGAACGGCAACAGCAACAACGAGGAAGAGAGCACACATACACGTGCACACACAATATGCAGACAACACAAGTACACTCCGGGCACATCTCCTCCATTGGGGCGAAGCGCAAACGAATAATCATAATAACAAATCTTTTTTTTCTGGTCTTGTTCTCGCAATATTTACAGAAACGACACATTTAACCACTTTTCCCCCGCATCATAAGGGCCTGGGCTGCTTCTGTGTGAAGGCTTGAGGGCCGAGGAGGAGGAGTGTTTCTCAAAACAAGACGCATTTGCTGCACCCCATTGAGACAAATTTTGTGGCACATGTATTTCCCTGCCATTAACTCTAGCATAGGTCGGCATACTCAGAGGCTCGCGCCACACCGCGTGGGCGCGTGGTAGCCTGTCCACGTCCACGTTGACTTCTGCTGTCCGTTGTCCCAGCTGCAGACGGAGTTGGCTTCCATGAGAAGCGTCATGCGGGTATGGGCCGCGTCTGGCGCCATCCGTACCCAGCGTCGACGCCCTCTGCTGTTGAAGCTGCAAGGGAGTTCTCATCAACGCCACAGCAACGGCGTCGTGGTGAGTTTTCTCCAAATCGTCAAGCTCCGCAAGCCTGGAACGCGATTTCTCCCTCACGGTGTCAACTGGCACCTCTTTCACATCAATTGGTCTCACATCACGGTGTTTCACTTCCTCACTCACTTTTTCCTCTGCTATCTTCTGTGCTTCCCCTTTTGTCTCCTTCCCAGATTCATTATTCTGCACGGCATGGCTCACACGCTCTACGCTGGTTCCGGCATACAAGTTCACTGGTGGGCGGAGTGCGCCGGGCCATTCCTCGCCACGCGCATTCCCTCCCATCGTACCATCACCGCCGCCGTTCAGCAGTGACCGCGAATTCGGAGCCTCTCCCAACGTGTGTCGCGGCGATTGCAGACCACCGGCCTCATGCGTGTACTGCATCCCAGATAAAACACTCTTGTACAGCCCCGGCGCAGCGTCGGGGGGCTGCTCCACGCGTGCCCCAGACGGAAAGGACACCGTTGGGGTGTAATTGAACATATTCCTTGCGGCCTGAGAGGCCCTCCCACCAGATGCATGAAGGTGCGCCGAATGCCTCTGGCCCCAGTAATCTTCCCAAGTGCGGTCGTTGCTCATGTCACTGTCCACGTCGGCCACGCCGCCCTTCTCATGCTTTTCCGCGTCCTTCCACACTGGTAAAGGAGCCGCGTGGTGCAGGAGGGCCTCCACGGCGGCCGGGCGAACAATCGGAGGAGGAAGTCTTCGCATCAACGACGTCGAAGGACGCCGCTGAGCATCGCTCTCCTCCTTCGTGCCCGAGGTGTAGGCCCCACCCTGCCGGGGCAGGGACGCTTCAACACGGCGGCGCATCTCCATCAGCTTGGGTTCCACTTCTGGAAAATAGGGCCGCGCGGCAAAGCGGGCACGGAGCTCGTCAAAGGCCTCCTTTGCATCCATCACGTCATCCGCCCGTCCCCCGCCCCCACTTCTGCGGCAGACATGCGCACGTACGAGGAGTAAATAATAATAACATAAAAAACATGGGGAAACATGGGGAAACATGCACGCTTCGATGCAGAAGCATACTTTTTACTTTTCCTCTGTAAAAGTGCATCACGAGCATCCCACACATGCAAGTACGCCATCCAAACATTATTCTTCGACACCCATCAAGGGAAACAGAAAAAAAAACATACATATATAAACAGTAATAACAAAATAACGCGAACAAGGAAAAAAAAAGCCCAAATGCATCGCACGCCTTAAACAGAGGGTGCATGACCGGACTCACACGCAGTCAGCACCGCTGCGGACAACTCCAACTCCTCCAGCGTGATGGGCGGCAGCATATCTCGTACTGCACGCAGGCCTGCAGGAGCAGGCACATTTGAGTCGCGGTCGTCACCGCGGCATGTCCTCCTCTCGCCATCGTCACCCCTCAAAGTTCGTCGATCAACGGAAAAATAGCCGTCGTGTGTAAGCGCGTGGTGAAGAGACAGGGGGCGCACCGGCACTGGCGATAATGCATCCCACGACATCACTAAGATTTACCCCCGCAGACAGTCACACGGAACCTGCTGCAAGAGATGAGGGGCACCGGTGAAAGAAAAAAAAAAAAACAAGGAAACGAGAGCAAACAAACAGTGGAGTCATTACCGCCAGTAGAAAGGAGTGAGAAAACGGCGGTGCAGCTGCCTGCAAGTGTTGTCGCCCGCCGGAGGAGCACACTGGGAGCGGAGCGGAAAGACATGGGGGAAAAAAAAAGACTAAAAGAACCACAAAAGATGGGGAGTGTGTCCATCCGTTTCACCCTCACCAGCAGCACATCGTAGCAGCCGTCT